ATCCAGTTCTTAGTTTTTCATTAAACTACTTTTGCAGTTCTACTTACTGCCAACATAGTTGAATACAAAATTTAAATCCGTGAGGAAGAAGAAAGCTCAAGTGAAGTCAGAAGAGACATGTGGAGGAGGGTTGCTCTGATGTGTTCCCAGTTGTCCTCAGCCAGAGCTACCAGTATGAGATACGGGTTACAATATAGAAAAGGCCTGTACCATTTTAATTCTTTTTTCATTTAGGATAGCACGTAGGAACCAGGTGTTAGAGGCTGCTATACTATTTTCTTTTTGTTTTCTACACATAGAAACAAGAGGAACACTTGAGGGGACATGATAAACTCGATAATATTTCAGATTCTCTTAGCATAAATGTGCAAACTGCAAAAAGCAGGTCTGTTTTTAAAACTATAGGTATAAATATATGCTTTCCATGCATTTTTTTTCTCCCTTCTGGGGGCGGGGGAGGGTGAGCGTTTCAGTGGGTTTACTTAAGTTTACTGATAAGGTTGCTGTTTGAATTAGAAAATTTATTTACTATTAATATCCTCCGTATTTCCTTTCCTTTTCCACCCTCAACCTCTCCTTTCCTTTCTTGTTTCTTTCTGTGTGATCTTTTGCTCTGGTGTGTTTATTCTACCCTAATATTCTATACTCTGCCCTTTGCTGGTCTCCATGGGGCCTCCTTTGATATCATTCTCTCCCTCTCTTTCTCTGGTTACATCTCTCCACACTCCTTAGTCTCTGAAAGCCCCTGGCCTGGTCATGACCTTCTATATCCAAGTAGCCACTCTCAGGTACTACTTAATTTAGCATTGAATGTGGAAAGACGTCTCAGGTGGATGAAAAGATTCCTTTTGGCTCTGGAGGGAGAAGGCGTCCAGCCTGCCCTGGAGCAGGGGCCTGGCAGCCAGCCAGAGGGCTTGGTCTGTCATTGTCGTAACTCTCTGGAGCAAACTTTCAGGCGTCTCCAATGAGCTGCACTACAGATTTCTTAATTATGATCCAAGAACACTCCTGAGAATCTTAAAACAATTTTTTTAATATTTATTTTATTTTATTTTTTTAAATTTTTTAAAAAAATGTTTTATTTATTTCTAGGAGAGAGAGAGAGAGACAGCGTGAGCAGGGGAGGGTCAGAGTGAGAGGGAGTCACAGACTGAAACAGGCTCCAGGCTCCGAGCTGGCAGTCAGCACAGAGCCCGACGCGGGGCCCGAACCCACGAACCGCGAGATCATGACCTAAGCGAAAGTCGGACGCTTAACCGACTAAGCCACCCAGGTGCCCCAATATTTATTTTATTTTTGAGAGAGCGCGAGCGAGAGAACAAGGGAGGGGCAGAGAGAGGGAGACATACAGAATCTGAAGCAGGCTCCAGGCTCCGAACTGTCAGCACAGAGTCCCATGTGGGGCTTGAACCCACGAACTGCAAGATTGTGACCTGAGCCAAAGTTGGACACCTAACCGACTGAGCCATCCAGGTGCCCCTAGAATTTTTTTTTTCTTTCTTCTTTTTTTTCTGTCTCAATGGTTTTATATCTGTTTCTGGTTTCTTACTGATGACTTTTTGGTCAAAGGAGTATTTTATTATTGTTTGTATTAGTATTAATGAAATATGATAATTCTGGGAGTTGCAGTTGCCTTTTCAAAACTACCTTTCTTCCCTCTCGAAAGAAAAACTATTTTAGCTGGGGATTTTTTTTTTTCTTTTTGATAGGATGAAGTACTGTTAATCCCTCAGTAAACTAGCTGTCATCAGTATGGGTCTCAACACCCAGATGGTTCACTCTCTTTCTCTTAAGATTTCTCGGTCTGGACTCATTAGTAATTTTGGACGGGGATGCCAGTGCATGGAAATTCCTGCTGGTGATCTCACCTGCAGAGATTGTGGGCATGGCGCCTGGCTATCGATCTGCCAGGACTGTGTGTCAGGAAGGAAGTCCTGTGAAATTCCTGCTCAGGGTTAACCAAACGGGAGCAGGGCTGAACGGTTTCATTCTTCTGGCCAGACTCCTCCCTTATTAAAATGGATGAAGAAGCCTTTTTAGCCATGAATTCTTGCTGACAGGCTGACCCAGGGTCAGGATGGTGGGTAAGGCTGAGAACATTCCACAGAATGGGTGGATGAAAAAGAACATATGGAGACTTGCTACAGACCTGCCATTAGAAGGAATCTTAGTAATGATTGCCCAGCACTAGAAAAGGGGTGCCTCTCGCTCACAGAACTGGAGTCTCTCAGCCATATAATATCATGATGGAGAGCATGGGTTCTGAGGTTAGAGAGGCATGAAGGCAGATCCTGGCCTTGCTACCCGTCGGCTGTGTGATCTCAGGTCTTAAACCTCACTTGTTATCCCCAATTCATGTGGGGATAACACCCCAAGAAGAGTATTGACTTTCTTGGGTTTTTATGAGGATTCAGTGGGAAAAAAGTATAAAATGCCTATTTCCACAGTTCCAGGCACACAGTAGGTGTTGAATAAATGATTGTTAACTTTACCATGATTGATTTAGGACTCTTTCTACACGACTCTACTGCTCTCTGTCCTTTTCCAAAAGTCAGGTTAGAGACTGTGACATGGGATTGTCTTCATGTCCCTGGCCGCACCATGTAGGGTGCTGTGTAGCAGTGGTCTTCACACCAGGGCTTGCCCCACCAGGGATTCGCAAAGACTGCAGAGTGGATGGGGATAGTTCTAAAGATACTGGTTTTCAGATGTTTAAGTTCCAGGGATCCTCCTTTCCATCACTGAGACTGCATGTGCACAGTGATACCCCAGGGTTTTTTTCCGGTCTCCCCTCTTACAGTTGCCCTTTGGGTTGTTTTACTAAGGAAAGGCATCTTTTTTATCCATCTCAAATCTTTGGGTGGTGCCTTGTTCCATGGTGTCAGAGCACTGGGGCACAAGATACGGGGGCGGGGGAATGAGTTTAGAATTTTGGTTTTAGGGGTACCTGGGTAGCTCAGTCGGTTAAGCCTCTGACTTAGGCTCAGGTCATGATCTCACGGTTTGTGAGGTCGAGCCTCATGTCGGGCTCTGTGCTGACAGCTCAGAGCCTGGAGCCTGCTTCAGATTCTGTGTCTCCCGAGAAGCTATTGCTACAAAACTATGGACCTTAAAAATAGTTAAGAAGCTATTGCTACAGAGTCTGTGTCTCCCTTTCTCTCTGGCCCTCCTCCACCCACGTTCTGTCTCTCTCTCAAAAATAAACATTAAAAACTTTTTTTTACTACCATACTGCTTTTAGTGCCTCTTTTTTGGAAGCCACCATAAAGTCCCCACCTTACTAAGAGTTGTAGTCTCAGTAAAAATCATTTTTAGGGCTTAATGCATTAAAATTGGGTTATTGTATTGTTTTGTTCATAGGTTATGAATGATAAGTGTGGTGATTATATAATCCAGGAGAGGGTCTTTTATACTTAAAACTCAGTGGCCACAGGACATTTTAGAAAATTAAATTTAAAAAGGTACTTTTGCATCAAAGTATAGTAGTGTAATTCATCAGCTACCCTAACACATAGAATTACATTTGGAAATTTGGGAGGGAAATTGACATAGAAATGTGATTTTTATGGAGAAACAAGAATAATTTTCAACTGTTATGGAAAGCATATTTATTTTTATGTGGATGGTGGTGGATAGCACATCATTATGTTTTTTGTATTCCACTGGATACGTTGAACACAGTATAAGCAACACGTTTTAGAATGTCTAGATTTACAGTGAGAAGAAAAATACATCTTTTTAATTCTTCTTTTTTAAATGTTTGTTTATTTTGAGACAGAGAGAGATAGCATGTGAGTGAGTGAGGGGCAGAGAGAAAGAGAGGGAGAGAGAGAATCCTAAGCAGGCTCCGTACTGTCAGCACAGAGCCCAATGTGGGACTTGATCTCATGAACCTGAACCTAAATCAGGAGTTGGATGCTTAATCAACTGAGCTACCCAGGTGCCCCATCTTTTACATTCTTTAAATGTACAATGAAAATTTTGAGATGTCAACTTAAAAATGATCGAGGTTATGAGCATGGTTAAGAAAACTTGTTTTAGGAAGCATGAAAACAAAATGTTTGAAGACCTGTGTTCTATTCTATCGCCATTAGTTTCTCAGAAAAGGGGAGGGCACTCACGTTTCTTGCTGTCCTTCTTTATGTCAAGCCCAGACTTTAATTAGTCAATATCGTATGTGTGCCTGACCTTTTGCTAATTTAATCCTCAGCTGAAAAAACACGAGTGTTTTTCCTGTGCCAGACTCAGGGGCAGGTGTAGCAGAAGGTGCACCGGGCCCTGCCTTCATGCAGTTCTTAGAAACAGGTTTGGTTTCTACTACTCTTTGGTTTAGAAACTGAATTATGATAGAAACTGCAGTAATCAAATAAAAATGGGATGTAATTGAGGTAGGGGTCATAGTGATTCAGCTAACACTGCAACCACGTTACTCCCAGGACGATACTGGCGGTCATGGTTCTTGTGGGTACTGTTGCTTCTCCAAAGAACATCAGACTGACATTCTTATTTGTCAAATTTAAATATGTGAAATTGGGGCGGACAGGACGTTGTTTTCTTGTTTGATCGGGTCTCTATGAAGAGCACAGGTATTCTGCAGAGTCTTGGTGAAATACAGTATGAAAGTTACTTTTTCAGTGAGCGCTCTTGGGCAGTGAACTCTTGAGAGATGGCTTCACTTTCTTTATTGTTAGGTTTCTTCACTTATGATTTGCAAAATTAATTTGGTAAGTATTTTAGGAATATCTAGACCTAAGACTAGAGCAGATTAACGCAACCTGACATGAGAGTGTTCTGGACCCTTTGCAGTTCTTTTTTATTAATGCTAATTTATTAATGTGATTCAGTATTACACAAGGGACCCAGAAATTAACATGTGCTTAATTCACACGTTTTGCATAATTTCTTATAATTCATTTCTCAAAGGGTATGGAATTATGCCTTTCATGATAAATTGTTTGTTAAAGTAAATGAGCCCAACTTTCTTTTGCTTTTTCCTCCAGGTGAAAAGAAATGGATTATCGCAGACAGTTAGCCAGGAGGAAAGAAAGAGACAGGAGGTATGTTTTCTATTGGCAGATAGTTTTATTTATTTATTTTATATATTTTTTAAGTTTATTTATTCATTTTAGAGAGACAGAGACCACATGAGTTGGGGAGGGAGGGATAGAGAGAGAGAGAGAGAGAGAGAGAGTAAATCCCAAGCAGGCCTCACACTGGCAGTGCAAAGCCGGATGCAGGGCTCAAACTCATGAACAGTGAGATCCTGACCTGAGCCAAAATCAAGAGCTGGACACTTAACTGACTGAGCCACCCAGGCACCCCAAGCAGATACTTTTAGAGCTCCAAGTTATGTGTGTGCTTTCACCTACTGTGTGCACTGGTTCAGTGTTTTCCTTTGAAAACGTATTCATTTTGTTCTTAATAAGGGGTATGTGATCCTTGTCAAATAAAGCTACACATAAGCACCCAGAAAAGAAAACTTTAAAGTTCCTTAATGTCATTTTAACTTAAACAACAAAACAGCTAGGAGAAGTATTTGAGCTGGAAGAAATATGTTGAAAAATGAAAGAGATGTTAGATCCTGGACTTGAAAAAGGATGTTAGTGGAAAAACTGGTGAAATCTGAGTGAGGTACATGCATTTGTCTACAGATAAAATGTAACGTACCCTGGTTAGGGGGACTGGATGAAGGAAACGCAGGAACTCTGGACCCTCTTTGCAATAGCGCTAAAAATTAATTTTATACCAAAATAAAAGTTTGCTTAATAAAAAATAAAACTGATAGTAATAGGATTTTATAACTTGAAGTTTAAATAAATGTAGTTTATTTAATACAGTTTAAGGAAAAAATATTGTAAAATTCTCAAAACACTTACCTCCTGTTATATGCATATTAATATGTAAATAAATTTCTATATGTGTATATAACATATGTGTGTGTGTACACATATATATATACATACACAAAACTCTTGCACAAAGGACATGCACTATATTTTTATTTCATTGGCATAAATAACACAAAAATACAAAGGCACATTATAATTTCATTTTTTTTAAGTTTAAAAAAACAGAATAGTATGTAACATTGGTATACCCATCACTGAGAATTAACAAACATATTAAATTTATACTTTTTTCCTTATATTTTTTAAAGAAAACAAGACTTTTCAATATAGTAGATGTCCTATGTTATCCTCAGTTGTCATTTTCTTCCTCTCCTCCCGAGAGGCAACTGTAATTATGAAATGATGTGTATCTATCCAAACTGTGTTTTTAAATCATGTATTGCATATATTTATGTACATATATTTGTGTGCATGTGTGTGTGTTAAAATGTAGATACATGATCGTTCTGAACATGTTTTTTGTTTCCTTTTGACATTCAGCCCTATATTTGGGATTTATCTAAGATAATATATATTAATCTAGATCATGTATTCAGAGCAGAATGTAGTATTCCATTCTCTGAATTCCACCTTTTAAAAAAAGCTGTTGTCCAAATTTTGGGCAGCAGGTGATGTGGGTTTGCTTTCTTTATTGCAAAATAAATAGTGTTTCTTTGTGGACAAATTCAAGAGCTACTCTAGGGTCCTAACCCCATTTGAACATTTGTGTTCTTTGAAACTTTTCGTATTTGAGCCTATTTCTTTCCCCTATATGTTGAAAATATTCAGATTTATGATATAAAAAAAAAAGCTAGTGATGGCAGCAAATCTGACTTTATGGGTCCTTTCTATTCCTATATAGCTATTTTTAGAAAGCTTAGCCCAATTTGCTTTTAAGTAGTTGATGGTTCCATTGCAGGATGTTTCGGCAGTTATTATATTAAATCTATTATATTAAACTACCACTTATTCATCTTTTCATGTGATCTGTATCGTTCATGTGATCTTTTTGTTCAACTCTTAGTATTTTGCATTTGATTACAAAAGGTTTTGCTTTTGAAAATATTTTGTCATTCCAAGTTACCATATCCATCAGCAACCTGAAATCCATTATTTTTGGTCAGGAAGTGACTATTTTCTTCAGTTTACATTGCATTTCCTAGGGATAATTGTATTGCCTGAAGAGAATTATACAAGATTCAGGTCAGGTGAGACTCTTCATGTCCTCACTCTTTACTCGTTAGATGATTATATCACTTAAGTCCCTGGAGCACAACTGAGGCTAGACCAGCACATTAAGTAAGATGTCCTTTAAAGCTTACCAATGCTGAAAAGGGAGGTGAACATTGAGACTAGCATTAAGCTGACTTACGAAATATGGTCCACTCACTGGCAGCTGGACTTCCATGTGCCTGTGCCTGTCTGCTCCCGCCTAGTCTCAGCCACCACACAGGGCCTTAGGGGAAGAATCTCTTGTGCTTTTTGGGTCAAGGGCTTGAGGAGAGGGGACCTGGAGGTCAAGGCCATCATGGGATAATGGCATTGTTACCAGAGAGATCTCCAGGAAGAATGCGAATCTCAAGCCTGCAAAGATGTTTCCCACCCCACCTCAGGAGGAATCCCTGTGTTGCGATTCTTGGAGGATCTGAAGTGTTAATGAATTAGATGAATTCCTTACACCAGGTGTAGGTGCCTATTCACATATGTGGGCTGAATTTCATCATTAATGAACACTTATCAGGTAACTATTGTGTGCCTGACACCAACCATTTCTGCAGAGGGTCCTTCGCTCCTTCTTGAGATACCGATGAGAGCAGAGAGGATGGCTTGTTGAAAAAACAGAATTACTTTCAGTTATATCAGTTTAATATAAAAGATTTCCTGTGGCTGATAAAAACCTTTTAAGGGTAGATACAGGCATGCTCTTTTCATATACCCAGACTCTTTGGTCTTATTGGCTGCAAATATGGGGAGAGAAAAGGCCCACACAGGAGGAGAGCAAAGAAATGTATTTGTGAGACCTTTTCTCTGAATCCCAAGTGATGTCTATAAATCCTTACTGTCCCAGAGCAGCATACTTTGAAAACAGGGCTGTAGGAGATGACCCCAAGGGTTAATTAACGTCACACTGAGATTTTATGACAGGCCCTAGCTTTCTTCCATAGATTCCACCCCTTGGCAAAGCATGACCTCAGGATGCAATCTTAAGTCATCCGAGTGCTTTCACTTTTTCAGTTTTACACAGTCGGCAGTGACCGTATTTCTTGAGGTTTGGATGTTCATGCTTTACATAAAGACAATAGTTCAGTGATATGTTTTCCTTAGGGCTTATCTTTTTGTGCTTTTCAAGATATGTCTTTTTTGTAGGATGAATATGAGAGCTTATTTTTGTTCTTCAATTACAAGAATTAATATCTTTCTTTTTCCTCTTTACCAGGCTATCTTTGAAGTCATATCCTCTGAACATTCATATTTACTCAGTTTGGAGATCTTGATACGGATGTTTAAAAATTCTAAAGAACTGAGCGATACTATGACCAAAACAGAGAGTCACCATCTTTTCTCTAACATTACGGATGTCTGTGAGGCAAGCAAAAAGTAAGTTCACCTTAGTTGTCTTTTGGTGAGGCCAAGACATTCCTTACTAACGAACATCTGCGTTACCTCAAACAAGACCTTTAGAAGTATGAGGCCTCTTCTGGATTTAATCGGCTTTTATCTTTACTCCTTAAAATAAATTTTAAGGTTTTAGGTTGTTGATGTCTAGATGGATGCCAAATGCATACTGAATTGTCACCACAGACAGTTATATCTGAGGTCTCTCCCTCCTCTGTTCCTCCCTCTTCTCACACTTGTCCTTTTATCCTTCCTTTTAAATTATTTAAATTAAACACCTTTAAGTTGTGTGGGAGAAAAATAACTCATACTAGTCAAACACAAACATTATTTTTGTTTACATTTTTGTATTTTTTGTTCATATATGTAATTATTGTCTTGAAAATGTAGTTGCAGTGACCATACTGGTTTCTTCAGGTTTTCCCTATTTAACATTCCATAAATACTATTAGAGGAGTTTCTATTGGTTTTAATGAGTGTAGGAGCCTCAGCTTGTAAGTCAGTGGTGAGCTCTTACATTCTTCTGAGGGAACTGCAGAGCCTGGACTGGAGCCAAGTACCAGCAGTGTGCTAAGCTGAACAGTCCTTAGCTGCTATTTTGGTAGGTCAAAATGGTTGAATATTGGTAATTTTATATAGTTGGGTCAATGGTGGCTTTAAGCTTAAGCCTCATTAATTATTTGCTTTGTGCCTGTTTTTTTCCTTTTTTAAAGTTTATTTATTTATTTATTTTTTTGAGAGAAAGCATGAATGGGAGAAGGGCAGAGAGAGAGAGAGAGAGAGAGAGAGAGAGAGAATCTCAAGCAGGCTCTGCAGTGTCAGAGGATAGGGGCTTGACATGGGGCTTGATCCCATGAACCGTGAGATCATGACCTGAGCCGAAATCAAGAGTCAGATGCCTAACCAGTTGAGCCACTCAGGTGCCGCTGTGCCTCAGTTTTTCCTAATTTTTGTGCCTGCATATTGGACAAGCTTCAGGACCCACAAAAACTGGATCTGTCTTAGGTAGGGAGTATTCTTGTGCATCCTGACATTGCTTATTTGTCATGTTAGGGCAAAGTCAAGCGGACAGTAATGATAACATGCTCATGCCCACTGGCGCCAGCACTGTGTGCAGGTGAATCTTCCTTTTGAACTTTCAAGATTGAATATTCATGTAGAACATGTAGGCCTGTGACTTGAAGCTACTTCAGAGAGCTGGAGTTTGTGGTCTAATCCATGAGATCTTCAAATTTTTAGAGAAGTGGCACAACTTCAGACGGCAGATTCTGCCACAGGAAAAGATCCTGGCAATCTTGATACTGACATGGATACTCAAAGAGAACATGTTCCGGGACCCAGTGGGCCTTAGGGAGCAGTGGGCCCGTAGTGTGCGGGTGGTGGATGCACCTCAGCTTGGAAATCCTTGTTGAGAAGCTGGGTTGTTGCTTGTGTTCAGTCCCTTGATCCTTTTGATGCCATCTTACCGGTTTGGTAAGAGAAATGAGCATCTCTTTTCTCCTTCAGTGAAGAGTCAGAACAAGAGCCTTAGATGGTATGTCTGTATTTGAAAGTGAGTCTCTTTCATTTTAACATGTACTTTGGTTGATCTATAAAACCAGAGCCCTGTTTTAGATACATAGCTATCAAGAATCAATACTGTTTTGATAACTACAAAATGTAAGTCATGATTTGAATGAGAATATGTTTTCTGAAAACCACAGTGGCATGTTTTTCTTCTAAGGAGTTGTGCTTTGAATTGTGTGGTCATCAGTCAGCTTCTTGTAGTGTATAATGACTCCAGAGAAAGCCTTTAGTAAATTCTGTTGTAGAGTAGCAACAGTTCTTGAGCAGAGGATGTTTTGGGTCCTGACATTCTTTGGGTACCCAGAGCACTGCTTGCTTATCAGGGTAGTCCATCAGGGGCCTGGGCTCCAATAGTTGCCTTTCCTTTTGGGAGCTGGTTAACCTTGAGCAGATTGCTAAACCTCTCCCCCTCATTTCTTATTTATTAAATGTGGATTTAAAAAGTCTACATGGCTGGTTAACCCTGAAATAAGTCATTTTGTTTAAGTCTTTTATGATTTCATTAAAAAGTTTTCATTTCTGGGGTACCTGGGTGGCTCAGTCTGTTATAAATATTCGACTTTGGCTCAGGTCATGATCTCACGGTTCATGAGTTTGAGCCCCATGTCGGGCTCTGTGCTAACAGCTCAGAGCCTAGAGCCTGCTTTGGATTCTGTGTCTTGCTCTCTGTCTGCCCTTCCCTCACTCACGCTCTGTCTATCTCTGTCTCTTAAAAATGAATAAATGTTAAAAAAAAAAAAAGATAAACATCTTTTATATTTTTATTTTGTTTTTACTTAAAACGTAGCATTTTAATTTGGAAAGCTGCCTATGTGATATTTGATCTTTATTATAATATATTTTAACTAAGGTTTAGGAATGTTCAGCTTCTACATGATAATCCTCTGTCTGTATCAAAAAAAGTTTGATTTAGTTTGAAATCCCATTTCAGATACAGTCTTTTAAAAATTCAGAAGGCTCAGAAGACTTGCAAAGCCCATCTCATAATATAATGCCTAATTGCTGAATGAACTTTTAGCATTTGGTCTCTCAAGTGATAACTACTTGATGTGCTACCCATGGAAGAGTTGCCAATCTTAAAGGAAATGCTATATAAAATGTTGAATAAAGCAAAGGACTGGTGTTCAAATTAGTGATTGCTGATGAAGCACGGGATTGCTCAGTGTGGCATAATCAAGACTGTCTTCATCGCTGTACTTTCATGGAAAAATTGTATCTAGAGGTGATGGGATATTAGCAGAGGGTGAGGTCAGAACAAGCTTTGTGGATTCAACAATATGATGTCTGGTCCCCTTTATAGTGACTCAGGTTCCTCACCACTTGCCGATGAATAGCACTAGTAAGCCTTTCTGTGTAAGAAGACATTATATGAAAACAGGGACAAGATCATTCTCATTCTGGGTGGGAGTGCTTATCAGTGGCATGTCCCTACTAAGTTTTTGGCTTTATAAAGAATTGCTCAGGATGCCTGGGTGGCTCAGTCGGTTAAGTGTCCGACTTCGGCTCAGGTCATGATCTCGTGGTTCGTGGGTTCGAGCCCCGCATTGAGTTCTGTGCAAGCAGCTTGGAGCCTGGGAGCCTGTTTCGGCTTCCGTGTCTCCCTCTCTCTCTCTGCCCCTCCCCTGCTCATGCTTTGTCTCTCTCTGTTTCAAAAAATAAATAACAGCTATAAAAAAAATAAAAAAAAAAGAATTGCTCATTTCAGTCAACACTTATAGATCCACCTATTTTGCAAGATGCCTGGGTTCTAGAGCATTTCTGCTGGCATCCACCCAGTGGCTCTTGGTCCCCAAGGATCAGCCGCAGCTGGTGGAACATCTGTAGTTTGTGTGTAGGGGAATCATAGAGCATGGCACTGCCCCTGAAATGCATAGGCCTGGGTCACGCTGGAGGTTATGGGCTGAAGGTTCCCCGGTGAAGGTGAGAGGGTACAGGCCATTGTGTGCCCTGCTGAGGAGTTTTCATGGTTTTTGAAGGCTGTGTGGAAACATGGAGCGATCCAGTAGGGCATGGCCATGGTGGCCCAGGAGATGACAGCGTGGTATTTGTGTTAGAGAGGATATAAAGTTGGTGGAAGATTTGAGGCCACTGCAGTAATACAGCTGGACATGATGGGAAAAAGAGGGGTCCTATGAAGAAGGAAGGACTTGAGAGATACTTGGAACATGGAGTCTTGAGGACTTGGTAAGAAAGAGGAGTTCTGTTTGCCTCCCAGGTGTCTGCCCAGTTGACTGTGGACAGTGGTTGGATTAGCTAGCTTATAAGGGAAACAGGTTAGGGCTTAGTGGGGGAGATAAGGAATTCATTTGGGACCAGTTTTGAAGTGACAGTGGAGAATGAGGGGAGAGTGTCAACTTGAAAGGAGAAAAACGGATTAGAACTCCAGAAGAGCCTTGACTAGAGGCGTAGATTTGAGTCCTGTGGGTTTAAATGAGATACTGGTGCTTGTAACCATGGTTTTTTTAAGTGGTGGTGGTGGTGGTGGTGGTGGTGGTGGTGGTGGTGGTGGTTGCCTCCTACGGGCATTTGGAAATGTATTTTTGATTGCCCCAGTGACTTGGGGACTCTCCTGCCATTTGAAGGTGGGGACGGAAGTGCTGGGCACCCTACAGTTGGTAGGACACGCATGGATTGTCCCATCCAGATGCCAGGTGTGCCCTCCTTGAGATACATGGGTAAAAGGAAATGGAAAAGAAAGCGAGTGTCAGAATTCTGACACGGAAACATTTAAAGAGCCTGTGGTTTGGGACAGAAATGAAGCAAATAGGATAAGAAGAATGACACTGATCTTTGTCAGGCTCCATGACTTTCTCTTTAATGCCTTCCTGTGACCCTTTCCGTCCTGGCAGCTGTTTGCACCGTGTGTGTGAGGCGGCACTGGACTCCCGCTGGTCCTATATTTGTCCCCTCCTAGGAAGAGGCCTCTTTTCTTTTCCTTCAGTGATGATTCGAGCCGAATCTTTTAAGTTTATGCCTTTCGGTCTGTGCCAGTGCAGAGCCTTTGACCTCCCAACTCTGGACCTACTTCCTTTTACCTTAACTGTGTTGACTTCCTTCTGATTCATTTTCATGAAACCCCTCTGGATTCCTGGTCCTCCAGTCTTTTAAGGACCAAAGATGCTTTCATTCATGTATCTGTGTTCATTTACAATAATTTATTGGTAACTTCTGTATTAATAGGGAAAGACCTGTAAGTATGATTAATTTACATAAATTTGCAGCAGAATGTGATCTTATTCCAGTTATTTTTACGTTTAAGATCTATTGATGGTAAAAGACATACTGTCAGGAAAAGAAATTGCCTTTGGTCTAAGACTAAATGTCGACCCTATGACTGTCTTTAGAAATGCTATGCTCTAAGTAAGGTGTTTTGGGTTAAAAGGATTTCTGCAGAATGAAACTAGATGAGGCTTTGT